ATGGCTCTCACTCTGCTTATTCTGGGATACAGGTTGTTATGGAAACGGGGGAGGACTGAACTGGAATCTGGGGGAAATATGGCAACATAGAGAAATTTACTGGCTGTGTAAACTTTTGTGAAGGTTTGCTCCTTTGAGTTTGAGGTATCAGATTGGCCACAGCTGGCAGTAGCTGGCATCTAAAATTTCATAACATTCTGAAAATCGGGTCGGTGTCCTCCTTCCCCACGATGTCCCAGGAACTGTGGGGAGGACATGGCCAGCCGGAAGGTGGGGGCGTGGGGGGAACTCAGGGCTGGATGAAGCCTCTGTGATGGGAGGACGAACAGACACAGCTTGGAAGAGGCATGTACCCCCTCACCCTGAGCCCAGCCTGGGGAGGAACAGTGAGATCAACACAAGAGGAGCAGCTGCTCTTGGGACATTGACATTTCTTGAAGGGCCAAAAGGCAGACGCTGGCGGAAGTCCAACCTGCAGGGACCTCAACACCACTGAGATGGCTTGCAAGGTTTGAGGTGGGGTAGGGGTCCCCCCAGAAGGGCACTGCTGACCAGGCAGAGGCTGGCAGGACCCTCAACCCAGCAGCGTCCCTCGTGGTCACCTGTCACTTAATTCCCAAGGATCTTTAGCAGAACCTGCATCAGCAGAGGTGCCTGGGGGATCAGCGTAGGTGCTGGAGGCTCAGGAAGGCCCTTGGACATTCGACCCTCTGTGTGCCTCCTGCCCCTGGGACGCAGCATTTGCTGTGCACCTTCCCAGGGTGGCATAGATAGAGACTCTAGAGGTCTCTGGAGGAATGAGTCAGTTTCCTGCACGGGGTCTGCTGGGAAAGATGAGCACAACTTGAAAAGATCTCAGGCTTTCATTCCAGCTGCTAGAAGCAGGATGTAAAATGCTAGATTCTGCTAACATTTGGAAGGAAGCCTGAAAACAGCAATGTACAGAAATGTCTAATACCTTGCACTTTTGATTTTTTTCCCTTTCGAGTTCCTCACAAAGACTTTACCACATCAAAACCAACTGGTTCATTGAAGGAATATCTGTGCCGTGTGAGGGGGGCTGGAGCCTGGCACTGTGGGAGATACAAGGATGCATCAGATATGGGTGTGCCCTCAAGAAGCCGGAAGTCCAACAGGACAGATAAAGTGGGGTCACGATTACTACAAGACCAGACGGAGAGTGATAAACAGAGCTCTACTGCTATGTGGTTTAGAGGAAAAGAGAGATTTATAGATAGGGTTGGCAGATAAAATATAAGCTGCCCACTGAAGTTTGCATATTTTGTTAGTATAAGCATGTCACAAATATTGCTTGGGATGTACTTGTGCTAAAAGAAAGATGCATGGTTGCGGGGACAGCTCAGGCGTAGAGTGCATAATTAGCGTGCATCAAGTCCTGGGTTCAATTCCCCATACCTCCATATAAAAACAATGCATTGTTCAGCATTCTTCGTCTGACATGCAAATTCAACTGTGTGCCCTGGGTTTTCATGTGCTAAACCTATCTACCCTATTTATGGAAGACTTCATGGAGTGAACAATATTTCTTCTAAGATTTCAAAGATGACGGAGACGTGGACACGTGGAGAGGCGCACTTTCCCGTGTCCCTCTGACCCCTGCAGGGGCCGGGAGGGGTGGGTCAGTGCCGCAGTCCCCACGGGCTGGGTCACACTAGGGGGAAACAAACCCCAGCGTCGGCCGCTCATGTCCCCCACCCCTGACCCCGAACCCAGGCTGAGAGAGGGGTGAGCGGGAGGGGGAGGCACTGTCTAGGACACTGCCAGTTACCATGGCAAAGGGAAGGAGCACTGCAAAGCAAAGCATAGGCCTTTAAAACTCACACTCAGGAGCGACGCAGCCACTTCCACACAAATGCCCGAGTTCAACAAGACGAGCAAACGCCATCTACGTGGGCCTGGGAGGAGGGAACACAGAGCTCTGTGGACAGCTGTGACACCCACGTCAGCCAGCTCCAATTTTCAGTGGTATGAACAACCTGGCTTCAAATCTTACTGCCAGCTCCACCCCGCCCCTCCGCACTAAGCCAGGAGTCCCCCAGTGCCCCCAGTGTCGGGGCCCCCAGCGCCGGGGCCCCCAGAGCTGGGCCCCAGGGCTTCCGGAGGAGCCCATGTAGTGCAGGGCTGTCACGTCAGTGCTGAGCGAGCGGCTTGACTGCGGTCATCCCTGTTCCAAAGGCAAACGTGACCCACGTCTCCCTCCAGAAGGCAGCCTAGGGATGGTTAAAAAACCCAGCAGTTCTGAGCAGCCTTGCAGCTGGGGAGACCCACCAGCGCCAGCGCTGGGGCAGCACCTGCTTCAGGAACAAAGGAGCCGGCTTCAAGGTGACTCTCCTAAGTGGCCAGGGACTCAGCGGTTTGCACTTATGTTGGAGCCTTCGGGAGCATGTGTGTGTGTGTGGTTAGGGGTGGTGACAGCAAACTGTTCATCCCTTCAGGGGGCGACGTGGTGTGCGGCCCCCTGGAGCCAGAGCAGCAGGGAGCCGACCCACGGCTGACCCACAGAGTCTCCGCCAGGCACCAAAAAGCAGCCTGCCTTTAAACCCAGCGTGGAAAGGAAATGCAAAACGCCACCCGGGGCCACCCAGACCCAGAAGCGGCTTACGAGGCGGTTTCTGGCGGAGGCATGACTAACGTTAAGGCTGAGAGTGGCCTGGCTGCGCGCCAGCAGCGCCGTGGCCCCTTGCTGTGTGCAGTCAGGTGTGGGCGGGGACAAAGGGGCCCTCTGTGCGCGGCAGGGACAGGGGCGCGGGGGAACCCGCACCCCGGCTCTGACCATGGGTGCAGTGGCGGACAGGGGACACCGGGAGGGGTCCTTGGGCTGCCAAGGATGATTCACACCTGAAAAGAAAGAATCCAAGCGCACAAGGAACAAAAGGCCGAGTGCGGGGCCCTGCCTTCTGCCCTTCAGCCTGGTGCCCAAACGTGCGCAGGGCCCTTCGCTGAGCTCATCTGTGCGGGGCCCTGACTTAGCTGCTGCCTTTACACCCCATTAGTTAATCTTGCCCTCTCGGCGAACCCTGCTAATAGGGAGTTATTATCCCCAAGTGACAGTGAATGAAACTATGGCTCAGAGAGGTTAGTGACCTGTCCAAGGTCACACAGCTGAGGCTGCAGTTCAAATGCAAGTCTGTCCCACCCTAAAGCCTGTCCCAAAACCATAAGCCGCACACAGTAGGGCTGCAGTAAATGTCACTTCCCTCCCAAGAGCAGGGCCAGGAGTAGAGTGACATGAGTCTAACTGGTTTCTGGTGTAAAATTGAACTGAGCACCGAAACTGCAATGATGATAAATAATATTTTAATGCAATATTTTAAAATTTGAAATTAATGCAAAACATCCATGATGAACCAAATATCAAAATGGAAATAAAGACAGGATCCAGCCTGCCATTGTGGAACCCGAGGGTGAGTCCTCCCTCTGCTCGCCCTGGACGGGGCCTGCCCCAGAGGGCAGCTGCCTCCCTGGTGGGACAGCGCGCACCTAGGGTACATAGCCTCCAAACGTCTTCATCCCAGCAGAGGGGCATCCCTGACCCTGCCTCCCACACCAGCTGAATCACATCTGGCCCTGTTGAGGGTCTCCAGATCTTCTCTACCCCAGCACGGCCAGCACTGGACAAAACCATAAAGGTGTTTGGCCTCCAAGATGCCCCCTCAGTCTAACATCGGCCTGCACCCCAGCACCAGCTTTGCCTAAAGCTGGCTCTCAGTCCTCAGACTCAACTGATGAAGGTTTCAGGCTCACGGTCTTAGTCCTGGCTGCACGCGGGGATCAAGACACACAGCAACCTGGGCCCCACTGGCCCTTTAAGCAGAGTCTCTGGGCTGGGCCCCGGCATTTGTGTTCTTACAGGCTCTCATGGTGATGCCCAAGGGAGGCTGAAGTGGAGAAACAAAAATGAAAGGAATGACTTATTTGGGGCTGTGGAGGGAACAGGGTTGCATTTTCACGGTGGACACTGAAAAGCAAAAAGTCCTTGGAGACCAAATTCTGCTCTCAAATTACATGAGATTCAGGCTTCAGTGGGCAAGGAGACCCTGCCCAGCATCTCTCCATCTTCACACCCAGGTGGGTCTCACTCTGAGGAGCAGCTGTGCCTTGTATCTCAGCTACGTGTCAGCCACGGAGGTCATGACAACACTGAGGCAAATAAAATGGCAGCAACCCCCAGTCTTATTTCATCCAGTGGCTGGAGCCCCTCAGAATGCCAACAAGGAGCAAGTTCCCGGAGATCTCTGTATCTCCAGCACCTAGCACTGTGCTGACCCCAGATTTGCTGAGTCGATGAGTGAAGGACGGTTGTGGAGTCTCCTTTATTGGGCCCTCAGGCTGCAACTCGGGGCTGTGCTGGCTGTGTCCCCACCCCTCGTCCACTCAGCCCCCTGGTCTCTGTCCCGGGGAAGCTCACCTCTCTGAGCCCATCAGGGGTTCCCTCACCCGCTGCTTTCTGGTTGGATGCGGTCAGTGGCAGCCCTGTCAGATCTCAGAGGACAGCAAGTACGGTCCGGTCCCAACCCCCATGCTCACTCCCTGAGTTCTTGCTTCAGACTCTCTGTGTCCTCTATTCAGGGGTCACTGCCCTCCCCAGAGGCTCTCCCCTCCATGACTGTCTTCCCAGATTCTGGAGATTGCTGTCTCCCCACATCCCTCCATCCTCCCAGGACCCAGGATGCTAAGGGCCGTGCTGTTACTAACCCAGGACACCGCAATCCCCGGTGTGGTTTTCCATATCCCACCCACATCTTTGTAAACAAACCCTCGACAAATTGCCCTAATATCAGTGTGGCATTTGTTTCCCGCAGGGACTCTGAGGGGTGGAAGGGAAGGGGGAGGACTAGAACAAAATTCCCTGAAGTCCCTTGTAGCTTTAAAAAAATGCAAATCCATTCCCACTCTCTTTCCAATTAAGTTCCTTATTAGGGAACAAGTTCTCTCTGAGGGAGAGTGGCTCCTAAGCATTTCTGAACCCTTGATGAGGAGAGGCTGAAGGGAACGGCCATGACCTTGCTGAGCCAGCCAGACCAATCCCACAGCGAGGCCATGAAGACTCAGTGACCAGAGCAGGGAAGGGAGGGAGGCGAGCTGTTCTCTTGAAGGGCCATCAGGCCCTTGGGCGCGTGGCGGCCACAGGAGGGCGCCATTCAGCTCCCCTTTCAAGAGAGCCATTCGAGGAGCGGGGTTGACAGACCGCCTCTGGATCCCCCAGGCCTTCACGCTGAGCCCACACTAGACCCCGGCTGCTCCCAGGACAAAGATGAGCACAGCGGGGGTCTCAGAGCCAGACCACCGCTGCCCAGCACGGTGCTCCTCCAAAGGACACCCCTTGCTTGGGTCACCAAACCCACCTGGCCAAGACTTTCTCAGAACCAACCGTGCTGTAATCTGAGGTCCTCCTACCCAGCCCCTCGCTCCCTTCTCAGGTGAGAACTATGCGATTTACAGAACGGTGGTATAGTACATTTGTGTTGTCTTAAGCCACTAAGTTCGTGGTCATTTGTTACAGCAGATAGAAAACCCACTTCCCGTTCTCCCAGTGACCCATCTAGGGACTGACTTCATCCGTTTGGGCTGCTCTAACAAAATGCCAGAGACTGGGTGGCTTATGAACAGCAGAAATTTACTTCTCATGGTTCTGGAAGCTGAAAGGCCAAGATCAGGGTGCCAGGAGGGCCTGGGTTGCTTCCAGATACAGACTTCTTGTATCTACATGGAGGAGGGGCGAGGATCTGTCTGGAACCTCTTTTATTAGGTATTTATCTGAATCATGAGGGTGCTGCCCTCATGCCCTATTCGCTTCCCAAAATCCCTATCATCTCCTTGGGTATTAGCATTCTGTGATATTGTAACTTTTTACAGGAAAAATATGCTTGGTTTTCTTCCAGGGTTCCCAGCACATCGCTCCTGAAACCTTTGTAATTTCCTAAGTGATGAGAGTTATAGGGGCATCTTACAGTCCTAGCTCCTGAAATAGGTCTAGAGTGATGAAGGTGAAATGGGTGATTTATGTTATTCGCAGCAAACCCCTTTCAACCACACCTGAGTTCATTTTAATGAGGCGACTTTTGGAAAGTCTCAAGGATGGGGCTGGTTGCCAGGGGAACCAACTATGTGGTTAGAGGGTTGAAACTTTCCGCATCTCCCTCCACCCCCACCTCCAGGGAGGAGAGAAGGGTTAGAGATTGAGTTCAATCGTCAGTGCCAATGATTTAATCAATTACACCACCATAAAGAAGCTTCCACAAAAAACCCGAAAGAACAAGATTCAGAGAGCTTCAAGACTGAAAAATAATGCATGCAAGTACCGGGAGGGTGGCACACCCCAAGTCCATGGAGACAGGAGCTCCTGTGCTCAGGACCCTTCTGGACCTCCCCTTATGTATCTCTTCATTTGGCAGTTGATGCGTATCCTTTAATATCCTTTATAATAAACCAGTAATCTAGGAAGTAAACCTTTTTTCTGTGATCTCTGAGCCACCCTGCAAATTCAAATTCAAAATCACACCCAAGTTAATCTGCACCTCCAATTTACAGCTGGTTGGTCGGAAGCACAGGTAACAACCTGACTTGCAGTTGGCCTCTGAAGTGGGGGAAGGGCAGTCTCGTGGGACTGAACCCGTAATCCATGGGGCCTGATGCTATCTCCAGGACTGTCAAGATTAAGTTAAGTTGTAGGACAGCCAGCTGGTGTCACAGAACTGCTGGGGTGTGAAACACCCACACGTCTGGTGTCAGAAGTGAAGCAGTGTTGTCATAGTGGTTTTTTCTCTAGCAAACTTTCAACAGATGAATCTTGAACATTTGGACCACAGCAGGAACTTTGTACTTCCTGTTCCTACAATTCTGGGTTCTGCGGGGTTTGAGAGCCTGGTCCCCAAAGGGGTTGCACTTTTGCCAGGGGACACCACAAGGGAGGGTCCCATGGACGTACAGGTTACAGCTTGTGTCCACCGACCAGTAGGCAAGAGGAGGACTCACATCTTGGCAGAGGTAATTGATCCTGATCAGCAGGAGGAGACGGGGCCGCTCAGGCAGGAGCATGTGTGGGACCCAGGTAATCGCCTGGGTGTCTCTTGTTCCTTCCTGACCCAGTTACAACTGTAAATGAACACGTGCAGAT